TTCCGGGGTTTTCGAGCTTCTCAAAGAAGCCATGACACGGTTATCGGGCCTGGAAAGAACGTGATCGAGCTTGGAATTGGATCGTAACCAGTCAACTCTGGCAGGGTTCAGCAACCAATCACCGGCCGGCACTTTGGATTTCTTGGCAAAGTAATTGGGTCCCCGGAGAGAGAATACTTCACCTGGTGGCAAGGCCCAGCCATTGGATCCATTCTAGAGGTCCACGTGTTTTAAGGATCCCCCTTTTATGGATTCTTCTCTCCAGTCTTCCACAGTTACGGTGGTAGTTGCGGCGGTGCTACGGTGGTGGAGGTGTTTTTGTTTGTGTTTTATCGGGCACATTATTGGTTTTCTGGGTGTTTCCCTGGTTCAACAGACCTTTGTTTCTCTCCCTACACTGAAATAGATAACTCCGCCGCGATTCGGGAGGCACGCCGCTCGGAGGTGGGTTGTGGGGAGTAAAGTCAGTAGTGGGGCGAAAAGAAGAGGTGGATACCCATGTGACCTTGGGATTCTGGAAAAATAGTTTAGAGTAATTTATTGAATAGTAAAATTGCTATTTTGGTCCACAACCTATAGGATTCATGCAACTTGGTCTGTAATATATTTTCCTGGCTGTTTCAGTGTTGCATTGGTCATCATGGAAATGTTGTTTATTTGACTATTAAAAAATAATTCTTCAACGAAAATGCTTACTAAACCCTTTTTTATGGTGAAAATTAACAAAATGATAAAAAACATGCAAAACAAAAAATTCCATCATTCCCTCGCATAAAGTCAATATCTCTAATTACCACGAAGACATCAAATCCTACGATCACTTGTTACTCATCATTGACATGTTATTAGTCCCATTCAAGCTAGAATCTACTTGCAATCACTCCCCAAACTAGACACTGACAATATCGTATCTACTTTTATAGATAATGTTAATTTCTTGCAAATTCACTTTTCCAAGCCAACCATCTACCATTTAGTAGGTGCTTTAATTTATTGTCCAATGCATTATAACTTGATTGCTCAATCAATTAGTGAATCTACCGTCACTTTAAACTATAATGATAAATAACATTACTCGAAAAAGTTAAAAGTAGAGTAGAAGCAACAAGTTGAGTGTTTGAGATGTTTTGTAGGGATGACTACTTCCATTTTTTCTTTTTCATTTTCTATTTTATAATTCTATTTTATACTAATTCCAGTGCCCAACATGTCTTACTTCTATTTTAATAAATTTTAGTATTATGGTACTCAAACACCGGGGCCTATCTATGCCTCTGTTTGAGTAGCAGGGGTTCTAAATTTTATGACAAAAATTGTCAGCTTTGACTATAGATTGGGACTAAATGTGCTACAAAAAATCAAGGTTTTGTGGTAGATTACGATGCCAATAAAAACACGTTGACAATCAAGTTACCACAATACCCAGAGGTTGGGACAAACACTCAAATTTTCCCTTTATTGGACTTTGACCGCTAAGTTGGTTTGACTATGGTATACACTCTATCTTACACTTTATCACATATCATTATTATATTGAACAATTTAAATTTTAAACAATTTTTTCATCAAATTGACACTTGACAACAATTCAAGTGTCAACTAAAATGTTAAAAATCAACATACAAACAACAAATTTCAAGTTGGTTTTCCCTTTAATCACATCATTTCTCATGATTCACTAAAGATCTGTTTGATAGGGATCTACATCCTGTAAAAAAATTATGAAAAAGCTATTTTAAACTTGTTTCCTCTAAAACTCTTTTAACCATCGTTTGCTTGGAATTAAAATCAAATTTTTAATAAATTTTAATAAAAATTAATAAGATGTATGATTTAAAAATTGTGAATCTCATAAAATATATGATTAAAATTAATTATTGATTTTAACTTAAATTAAAATCTTGATTTTATCAAAGAGCGTCAGAAAAAATACTTTCAAAAAATTATGTGAACATATTAAAAACAACTCTGTCATATGAACCCTAAGTGCTTGTTAAAAAGTAATTCTTTTGAAAATGTGCCTTGAGATAGAAAGTGATAGGACTCGCGATATAGGAAGAACGTGAATCATCCTATCAAAATTTACTCATAATTTGAATGTCAACTTTTTGGAATTTTATGAAAATATAGCTCATGAACCTCAGCTGGAAAACTGAATGAAAATCTAAGTTGAAGTTAACTAATATTAACAACACATCTCATGAAATTCACTACTTTTCAAATTTCAACTACACTTCTAATAAATTTTATCAAAATCTATTAAAATTCTAATTTTCATCTAAATCAAACATGGACATGATAAGATTAGTCATAAAGGAGGCGCACACTCAAAAACCGAAATTGCATCCCTACTTATCACATTCAAGGAAGAAGGGTGTGATTCTATATTTTGTCCAAAGTTGTGTCCTGACAAAGGATATTTATTATCTAAAGGTAACAAAGAAATGTAGATTTCGACTTGGTCTATTTGATTTTGTGCATATCTTCATTCTATTCTAGATCTTTCCAAAAAGAATGGTCTTAAGTTGAATTACACGAGAG